TCTCTCTCTCTCTCTCACCCCAACTGGTCGAGGCAGACGACCACCCACCTAGAGCCAAAGGATCTGTCCTAGGTTTCTGCCTTTTAACAGGCAGTTTTTCCTTGCCCTTGTCGCCAAGTGCTTGCTCATGGTGGTACTGTTGAATTGGCGCTATACAAATAAAATGTAATTGAATTGTGTTGTGGACTCTGTGTTGGACTCTGTGTTGTGGACTCTGTGTTGGACTCTGTGTTGGACTCTGTGTTGTGGACTCTGCGTTGGACTCTGTTTGGACTCTGTGTTGTGGACTCTGTGTTGGACTCTGTGTTGTGGACTCTGTGTTGGACTCTGTGCTGTGGACTGCTAACGTAAGCTAGTGTTGCCCACTGTTGGCACTGTAGGGAAGCGGAGAGAGAAGGCACTCGGGAGCATAAAGGTCACAACCTTTGACCCTCGTCCCTACATAGAGACACATAGAGATCAGTCCACAGGCAGCAGAGGAACAAAGCTACACTACAACCTGTTCACTCTCTGCTGATCACAAACATACCATTGATAGTCAGCAGTCTGCCCACAGGTGTTTTGGGAACGATGTTGGCCGGCAGGTAGTTGTTTAGCACCACTGTCGTCTTCTCTGAACCTACAGGAACACGGCAGAGACTTCAGCAAACACTGAGCTGTTAACCTCACACAGATCCTGGTAATGTAGATCAGTAAATGTACCGTAGATTCCCCGTGGGTCGAGTCTCCCTCCAGTAAACTGCTCCTTCATCACTCCTTCAGGCTGAAAACAACCAACAGAAAAGGTGATGATGGTATCAAACAGCACCTGTTTCACATTGTTGATTTACTTAGTTACTGCTAGCTACGGAAAGTTCACCTTTAAACCTAATTCAGATGATAAAATGAGTAAAACACAACAAAATGACAATTTATGTCAATAAAAAAAATAAAAAAGTAAATAATTATGTGAAAGATGGATGAATGAACTACCCACATGGTTAAATAGCTCTGGCCCAACAGATACAGTAATAGATTATTAATTCCTCCTCAAAGTTGCAACAGTTAACGCAAATTTAACCAATCAATCGAGTTTCCTGCGAGTTTTCACCCACAGATAGAGATACACTATAATTAATTAACCATCAGGTTCAGTTCTTTTAACAAACCAAATTGAATGAAGATCTGAAGCCAATTACAGTCTGAATCTCTCAGTATTGTTAACTAGCTGATCTGACCTCCGCAATATGGCGACCACGCAGACGTCTAGAGGCTAAAGTCATTGAGGCATTTATCAATCGTAGCAAAACAGTTGCCTTCAATTTTTAAGGAATTATACAGAAATATCACTTACTGCCTTTATTAGAGATTTGTGAGCAGACAGATGATAAGACATGAGGACAGAAAGATGTAACAGTGGTTCCCTATAAGATTATTTTCTTATTCAGGTATGAATTAAAATGAGAAAACATCCATCAAGCTGCATTTTCATATTAATATTTCACATGTTTCACATATTCAAACCAAATGTAGTTCAGTTGAAGCCAAAATCTCTGAGTCTGTTTTGGTGTTTCTATCTTCAGTTTATCCTCCGTTCATCCAATACGCACCACCACTCGTAGCTTCTTCACCAGGACGTCTTTCAGTCCTTCCCGTGTCCTCAGGGTGAAGGTCAGGGTGTGTTCTCCAGGCTCCAGGCCCAGAACACTGAAGGTCACCCTCCCCACACCTTTCGCAGCCAGGCGGCTCCAGGTGCAGGCGGTGGAGTGCAGCCCCGCCTGCCCGGCTACCGGCTGGGACTGCAGCAGGCACAGCTCCGGACCGACCGTCAACGTCACACAGTACTGAGGAGGAAACAGGAAGGAGGAGACAGGAGGGAGGAAACAGGAAGGAGGAAACAAGATGGAGGAAACAGGAAGGAGGAAACAAGATGGAGGAAACAGGAAGGAGGAAACAGGAAGAAGGAACCAGGTGGAGGAAACAGGAAGAAGGAAATAAGATGGAGGAAACAGGAAGGAGGAAACAGGATGAAGAGAGGAACATAAAATAGTCTTCAAACATTAAAACAATCGTTATTGTGTGTGCACTCCATAACCACAGCTCCCAGCAGGCTTTGACAGCGAGCCCCTGGCAGAGAATCATGGGATATGTAGTTGCCAGTGGTGCGTACCCGGATGCTGTCAGCCTGCTGGTTGTACACTGAGCCTTTCAGCTCCAGCTGTTCTCCTCGGACCACCTGATAAGGCAGCGGGACGTCCACACTGAGCGGCAGACTGACCGACACCTTCACCGGCTCTGCAACACAAATACCTGGAGGACAGACACAGTTCACACACCTGAAGTCCAGCAACAACTTCCTTCTAACTTCCTGTCTGAACAGGAAGTGGGAGTGTGTTGCATTGTGTTGATCAAATTAAAGAAGAAAATAGGAGAGAACAGGAAGAGGGAGGAGTGGTTCGAGGAAGTAGAGATACTGACCGTTCTGGAACATGCCGACGGCTTTGATCTCCCAGGTGGTGAGAGAGTCTGGTAGAGGTCTGATGGCCGACATCTGGCCCGATCTGAAGACACACAGTATAATAGTATAATATTTCTCTCTGAATTAAAATAATATATATAAAATAGGGATTCAGTGACATCTTGTGGTGTAACTCAGCCATTGTGAGGGAGAAACTGTATCTAGATGTCAGTTCCGGGCTACTGTAGTAAAAAAACACGGCGGCTGCCACGGGAGACGACTCGCGGTTTGTTACAATAAATACAGAACTAGAGACTCGGGTGTGTTTGATTTGGTCACCTGACGCGCTGCACCTCCCACATCCAGCTCTCTGGAAAGGAGCTCCGCACCAGAGAGGGAACCAGGTCGAAGTCCGCACCCAACTCTGGACACACACACACACACACAAACACACATACACACACACAAACACACAGACACACACACACACAGACACACGCACACAGACACACGCACACACACACACACACACACACACACACACACACACACACACACACACACACACACAGTGTTACAGTAATGTGATGACCAATAACAGTTTGTGTTGTTGTTTGTTTGCACTGACCGTGGCGTCCCAGGACGAGGTTGTTGTCCTGGTCCAGTTGTTGTTGGACAAACTCGCAGCACTCTCTGAAGACCTGCTGGCAGCGAGGATATTTATGATACCTCTGCAAGGCAAACTGAAGACAGGTCACGCTCTTCGGGATGTACTTCATGCCCAGTTCACAGCACGCCTTCAACGAACCGTAACGCTGAGCTGGACAGAGAGACACACTGTTGTTTACTGTTTACTGTTGTTTACTGTTACTGTCTACTGTTGTTTACTGTTTACTGTTGTTTACTGTTACTGTCTACTGTTTACTGTTTACTGTTACTGTTGTTTACTGTTTACTGTTGTTTACTGTTACTGTCTACTGTTTACTGTTGTTTACTGTTACTGTCTACTGTTTACTGTTTACTGTTGTTTACTGTTACTGTCTACTGTTTACTGTTACTTTTGTTTACTGTTACTGTCTACTGTTACTGTTGTTTACTGTTTACTGTTGTTTACTGTTACTGTCTACTGTTTACTGTTTACTGTTTACTGTTGTTTACTGTTACTGTCTACTGTTTACTGTTACTGTTGTTTACTGTTTACTGTTGTTTACTGTTACTGTCTACTGTTTACTGTTACTGTTTACTGTCTACTGTTTACTGTTACTGTTGTTTACTGTTTACTGTTGTTTACTGTTACTGTCTACTGTCTACTGTTTACTGTTACTGTTGTTTACTGTTTACTGTTGTTTACTGTTACTGTCTACTGTTTACTGTTACTGTTGTTTACTCTTACTGTTTACTGTTACTGTTGTTTACTCTTACTGTAGACAACATATCAACAAACAACTCGAACAAGAAGTCAATTACAACATGTGATGAACAACACACAAACAATAGACCAATCTCTAACCTCCCCTTCCTCTCTAAGATTCTGGAGAAAGTAGTCGCCAAAGAGTTGTGTGACTTTCTACATAACAATAGTTTATTTGAGGATTTTCAGTCAGGATTTAGAGTTCATCACAGCACAGAGACAGCTCTGGTTAAAGTTAATAATGACCATCTGATTGCTTCTGACAATGGACTTGTCTCTGTACTTGTATTATTAGATCTTAGTGCTGCATTTGACACCATTGACCATAATATTCTTTTACAGAGACTTGAGCATCAAATTGGCATTAAAGGAACCGCACTAAGCTGGTTTAAGTCATATTTATCAGATCGCTCGCAGTTTGTACATGTTAACGATGAATCCTCCATAAATACTAAAGTTAGTCATGGAGTTCCACAAGGTTCTGTACTTGGACCAATACTATTTACTTTATATATGCTCCCTTTAGGCAACATTATTAGGAATCACTCCATTAACTTTCACTGTTATGCGGATGATACGCAGTTATATCTATCGATCTAGCCCGATGAAATTAATCAATTATCTAAATTACAAACATGTCTTACGGACATAAAATCCTGGATGACCTGCAATTTTCTGATGTTAAACTAAAAAAAAAACGAAATTCTTGTTCTTGGCCCCAAAAACCTTAGAGACTCACTGTCTAAAGATATAGTTACTCTAGATGGCATTACCTTGGCCTCGAGCACCACTGTCAGGAATCTTGGAGTTATCTTTGATCAGGATTTGTCTTTTAACTCCCACATAAAGCAGACCTCTAGGACTGCCTTCTTTCATTTACGTAATATTACAAAAATTAGACACATCCTATCACAGACAGATGCAGAAAAACTAATCCATGCATTTGTTACTTCAAGGCTGGATTACTGCAACTCTTTATTATCAGGTTGCCCCAATAAGTCCATTAAAACGCTCCCAATTAATTCAGAACGCTGCAGCACGAGTACTGACAGGAACTAGAAAAAGAGATCACATCTCTCCTGTACTAGCTTCTCTGCATTGGCTCCCTGTAAAATGTAGAATAGAATTTAAAATCCTCCTCCTCACCTATAAAGCTCTTCATGGTCAGGCCCCTTCATATCTTAAAGAGCTCATAGTACCCTATTACCCCACTAGAACTCTATGTTCTCTGAATGCTGGGCTACTTGTGGTTCCTATAGTCTCTAAAAGTAGAACAGGAGCCAGAGCCTTCAGTTACCAAGCTCCTCTCCTGTGGAACCAGCTTCCAGTTGTGGTTCTGGAGGCAGACACCCTCACCACATTCAAGAGTAGGCTTAAGACATTCCTCTTTGATAAAGCTTATAGTTAGGGCTGGATCAGGTGAGTCCTGAACCATCCCTTAGTTATGCTGCTATAGGCCTAGACTATCGGGGGATTTCCCATGGTGCACTGAGCTACTCTCTTCCTCTCTCTTTCTGCACTCATTCATGTCCCTTTAATGCATGTTACTAACTCCACTTCTTCCCCGGAGTTCTTGTGCTTTCTCGTCTCGCAGGTTCTCATGGATCCTCTCGCAGGTTCTCATGGATCCTGGTGGAGCCTCCTGCCATGGTCCTGCTTGACTGCCATTGCCAATACTGTTGTTGCTGTGCACCTGTCTGTCTGTCTGTCTCTCTCTCTCTCTCTCTGTCTCTCTCTCTCTCTCTCTCTCTCAACCCAACTGGTCGAGACAGACGACCTAGACCCAAGGATCTTCCTAGTTTAGCCTTTGAAGGCAGTTTTTCCTTGCCCTTGTCTCCAAGGTCTGGCTCAGGGTGGTACTGTTGGGTCTCTGTAAATAATGTTATAAAGAGTTCGGTCTAGACCTGCCCTATTTGAAAAGTGCCATGAGATATATATACAAATAAAATTGAAAATTGAACATCTGAACAAGGTAACAGCAAGTAAACATCAACACACAAACAACCAGTGATGTATTGGATGTTATAATGAACACTGAGGGAGCTCCAGTTGTCTCACTGGACTCTTTTTATAAAACCCGGTCATACTGAGACCAGAACCACCTGCTGGAACCGTATCGGCCTCAGGACCGGCGCCGGTTCCCAGGTAAACCTCAGAGTCCCGACAGGTGGAGTCGTACCTTTCTTTGTCTTCTCCTCTTCAGTCAGAGCTCGCTTTGGACGCACCACTGCTGTACACGCTTCACCTGCACACACACACAGACACACACACAGACACACACACACACACACACACACACACACACACACACACACACACACACACACACACACACCTTCAGCCCACCAGTCTGAGCCCACTGACTGATTGATTGATTGATTGATTGATTGTTTGATTGGTTTATTGATTGGTTGACATACTGCTGGTTAATGGGTTGGCGTTGGCGTTGGTCATGAAGGTGAGGCCGGCCAATCGGAAGACGTCGGCGCTGTCTCTGCCGCCGCCTCCGCCGCAGCCCTGGTCACTCTGCTCGATGTGCCGGAGAACCTGTGGGCCACCATACATCCTGTTACTGTTGTTTCTTAGAGAGAAAATAAACACAAATAAATGTTTTTGGTGCGTTACCATGGTAACAGGGTCCCTGTAGGTGGGGCGCAGTGTGAAGAGGCCGGAGTCTACAGCAGACAGAGCCACCAGACCGTCCTGATTGGTCCGGATGTCCAGTCGGAGGTTTTCCTTCGGTTTGTAGACGCGATCCCGAAATGACACGTCAGTCTGACACACACACACACACACACACACACACACACACATTAAATACACTAAAATAACAGAATTCAGTCTTTTTATTACAAACTGAATGAAACCCTGTAAACATAGTGAGTGTGGGTATAAAATCATATTGATACAATATATTGTATCAATGGAGCCGGACTGTCCTGAATCGTGGACTAAGCTTTGAGATCTGAATAACAAAGTTGAGTCTGAGTTGTTGATCCTGTCTGTCTGTACTGAATGAAACAGACTGTAGTATTTGTGTCGTACCTGGAGTCCACTGACACACTTGTCGTTGACGTCCAGCCAGACGGAGTCAGCCACCAGCTCGGACGTCCCCTCTCCGTACAGGATGTAGTAGACCAGCAGTCTGATGGACGGGACCATGTCGGACGTCACCTCGAAGCTCAGAGTCTCTTTGTTATCGGTGGAGGTGAACTTCTTACTGCCGTAATGCACCAACTTCCCCTTCGAGAGCACCTGAGGGGACGCAGGAGTGACGCAATCAGTAACTATGGAAACAGGACTCTGAAGACGTGTCATCACCTGTGTTTTCTCACCAGGTAGCTGATGCCTTTGATGGGCACGTAGGATGGCGTGGCCGAGTACACCGCGATGTTGGAGAACTGCCCGACCTGGAGGCGGCGACCGGGCAGCGGGGGGTCGATGTACAGGTAGCGCTCGTTTGGGGAGTGATAGGCTTTCGCCTTCAGAGTTAGACTGGCCTGAGAGGCTGCTGGGAGGGCGGGGTCCGCCGTCTCAAACTGTAAACAACAGATACAACAACCAGTAAACAACAACACATAAACACCATGTAAACAAAACGTACACAACAAGCAACCATCAAGATGTAAACAAGTAATCAACATGTAAACAACAAAAACGACAACATATAAACAACAGATTATTTAATCAAATAACACATAAACAAGTAACAAAATGTAAACAAGTAGACAAAAATATGTAAACAACACAAATTTCAAGAAACGACAAATTAATGAATGAAGACTGAAAACGTTGAGTACGAAAACACCAACAAAGCAAATCCTCCTCCTCCTCCTCCCCCTCTTTCTCCCCCTCCTCCTCACCTGCAGTACTGCACTATTTCCATTACCCGGTACATTGCAGATGAAAACAGCGAGGCCGTCTGATTGGCTGACGGAGGTGTCCGGACAGGTGATTTCTGAGTTGCCCATCGCCGCGTCGACCAGCCGTCGCTCCACCAGACGAATGTTAACCCGGTTCACCGGTTTGTCCAGGTGGTCCTTCACCAGCACCTGCAGAGGAACCATCACTGTTACTCTGGAATCGATCTCACCCTGAGGTCAGCTGTACACTGCGTACTGTATGGAGCTGCTGTGCTTGCCGGCTAGTTAGCAGGCAGTTAGCTTTAGCTAGCTGTTGTGTATTAACTGTTTTACACCTGCTGACACACACCTGGACCATATAAGGAAGTCCAGGTTTGATGAAGGGGGGCGTGGACACCAGACTCAGGCTGTAAGGTGACTTGACGAACTTCACTGTAGCAAACTCCGCCTCCTGACTGATTCCACCTGAGGGACAGAGCAGAGGGCTGAGGATACCTGTGGGTGTGAGTATCACTGATGTTCACTGTGTGTGTGTGTGTGTGTGTGTGTGTACCTCCTTCCTCCTGCAGCAGGACAGCGATGTACAGGTACTTCCCTGACAGAGTGTCGAGGGTTTTTAGTCCGTCGTGTTGGGACAGGACCTTCTGCATGTTGACGGTCGTGCTCACCTCACCTGTGAAGGACAACTGAAGGACACAGAGAACGCTAACTCCAACAAAGGTAAACTGGCTGAGCAACGTGAAAAACGTTTCTCACTCTAAAATCTGCCGACATATTTCACCATGCAGTAGTGAGAGATTGGAATCGACATTAATGGTGGTTCTTACTCTCTCTCTGGTAACAGAACTGGGAATGAGAACCGGAGGATTCTTCCCGCTTACGTAGCCGAAGCGCAGGAACACCACGGCGTCAGGCACCGGAGCGCCGTGAAGATACCTGAGGAACAGGACAGGTGGTGTAATCTGCAGATAAATGAGCAGTTTGAGCTCCGACGTCAGCGAGTTCACTCACCTGGCAGAGACTGTGAAGGTAAAATGGTCGAAGCTCCCGTAGCTAATGAAGTTAGCTTCTGGTTCCATGAGGATGGAGAAACTGGGAAGAACTGACACAAAACGGATAATTTACACTTTATACTGAACTTGAAACCAGTTGGTTGAAGTGATATTTAATAAAGTTTTACCATATTCTTTAACTTCAAAGTCTGTTTTTGCTTTTGTGGTGAAATCATTGGAGTAGGAGGCTTCAATGGTCCAAATCCCCAACCTGGAATCACATTAATAACATTACACACAACCTGGAATCACATTAATAACATTACACACAACCTGGAATCACATTAATAACATTACACACAACCTGGAATCACATTAATAACATTACACACAACCTGGAATCACATTAATAACATTACACACAACCTGGAATCACATTATTAACGTTACACACAACCTGGAATCACAATATTAACGTTACACACAACCTGGAATCACATTAATTACATTACAGACAACCTGGAATCACATTAATAACATTATACACAACCTGGAATCACATTAATAACATTACACACAACCTGGAATCACATTAATAACATTACACACAACCTGGAATCACATTAATAACATTACACACAACCTGGAATCACATTAATAACATTATACCCAACCTGGAATCACCTTACTTTGGTTTAATGGGGATCTTGAAGGGGTTTTGCATGGACGGGATCCCATTGTTGACATCAATCATCTCCACCATGTCCACGATTGTGTGTAACGGGTCCTGTTGGCGACACAATCACTGAACTGAGACCTGAGATCACTTTGAGATGAGACATTGAAAGCAGTTGCTGCACTCACTCTGAAGGTCAGGAAGACGCTGCGATTGGCCGGCCGCAACTCCTGGTTCAGAGAAAACGCCCTCACTTTGACTGGACACACACACACACACACACACACACACACACGCATGAAAGTATAGCTGAAACCATTAGTCCATTAATTAATTAATAATCAACTATTTTAATAAATGTTTTAGTTATTTTTTATATTTTTAATGTTGAGGTTAGGGGTAATTCTGGATAATTGTGACAGTATTTGTCACTAATGTTTACACAGCAAACAATCGATGGATTAACGGAGGAACTAATCATTAGTTGGAGTCTGACACAAAATAGTGGTAAACGACCTCAACCTCAACTAACGACAGTAAAACCCGGCTTCTCATTCATTTCGAGTCCTTATTCAAATATTCTTGTTTCACCTCACCAACTGCCCCAAAACATTTACACAGTGTGACAGAAAAACAAGAAAGAAGAAAAGCAGCGACTTCTGTAACTTAAAATAATAAAAAAGACAGTGAGTGTTGTGCAATGGATTGTGGGACATTGAGGATCTGTGATATTTGGAGGCGTGCGCGCTCTCACCGCTCTGCAGCGGGGTGTACAGCGGTTTGTCGGTCTGGATGAACAGGAAGCCGTTGGTGCGGCTGATGGGGATCGACATGTGCTGGTTGATCTCTGGTGATCGGACGTGGAGAGTCACATGACTCACAGTTTGATCCAGCTGACCCAGGTGCAGCTGGAGAGAAGAAACAGAGAGCGGTTAAAATCTCACCCTAAAGCATCACAGCTGACCCGCTCTGTGGATCGAGTCTCACCCGGACTTTGGCGGCGGCCTGGTGGTGGTTATCGGCGTTGAGAGTCACGACTTCCTGAGCCAGAACCACATGACCTGGAGCCATGGAGGTCTTCAAGAACACGGAGACCGTCACCGGGTCCGTAAAATCAAACAGCTGCAGTACCACCGTCTCCACAGCGTCCAAATGCAGCGAGAGAGGAGCTGTAATCAGATACCTGCGGGGGGGGGACACAGCGTCTTTACTTCCTGATAGAACAGGAAGTGGTGGAACAGAACAGCGAGGGATCAATCTTTAATCCAATCAGATCAATTACACAAAGGAAGACTGTTTGAGCCTAAAGGCACGTTTACATACGAATGCTAACTATTAACCCTCACAAACCCGCTGAATGCGTTAGCTTCAATGGAATATTTAGCATTTAGCACTTTGCTGTGTGTGTCATCCCCTTTCTGTATCTGCTGCTCTTCAGCTGTCACTAACGTTAGCTCTCTGACTCGCAGCGTAACGTTAGCTCTCTGACTCGCAGCGTATCGTTAGCTCTCTGACTCGCAGCGTAACGTTAGCTCTCTCTGACTCGCAGCGTAACGTTAGCTCTCTCTGACTCGCAGCGTAACGTTAGCTCTCTGACTCGCAGCGTAACGTTAGCTCTCTGACTCGCAGCGTAACGTTAGCTCTCTGACTCGCAACGTAACGTTAGCTCTCTGACTCGCAGCGTAACGTTAGCTCTCTGACTCGCAGCGTAACGTTAGCTCTCTCTGACTCGCAGTGTATCGTTAGCTCTCTGACTCGCAGCGTATCGTTAGCTCTCTGACTCGCAGCGTAACGTTAGCTCTCTGACTCGCAGCGTAACGTTAGCTCTCTGACTCGCAGCGTAACGTTAGCTCTCTGACTCGCAGCGTAACATTAGCTCTCTGACTCGCAACGTAACGTTAGCTCTCTGACTCGCAGCGTAACGTTAGCTTTCTGACTCGCAACGTAACGTTAGCTCTCTGACTCGCAGCGTAACGTTAGCTCTCTGACTCGCAACGTAACGTTAGCTCTCTGACCTCGCAGCGTATCGTTAGCTCTCTGACTCGCAGCGTAACGTTAGCTCTCTCTGACTCGCAGCGTAACGTTAGCTCTCTGACTCGCAGCGTAACGTTAGCTCTCTGACTCGCAGCGTAACGTTAGCTCTCTTTGACTCGCAGCGTAACGTTAGCTCTCTTTGACTCGCAGCGTAACGTTAGCTCTCTTTGACTCGCAGCATAACGTTAGCTCTCTGACTCGCAGCGTAACGTTAGCTCTCTGACTCGCAGCGTATCGTTAGCTCTCTGACTCGCAGCGTAACGTTAGCTCTCTTTGACTCGCAGCGTAACGTTAGCTCTCTTTGACTCGCAGCGTAACGTTAGCTCTCTTTGACTCGCAGCATAACGTTAGCTCTCTGACTCGCAGCGTAACGTTAGCTCTCTGACTCGCAGCGTAACGTTAGCTCTCTGACTCGCAGCGTAATCGTTAGCTCTCTGACTCGCAGCGTAACGTTAGCTCTCTTTGACTCGCAGCGTAACGTTAGCTCTCTTTGACTCGCAGCATAACGTTTGCTCTCTGACTCGCAGCGTAACGTTAGCTCTCTGACTCGCAGCGTAACGTTAGCTCTCTCTGACTCGCAGCGTAACGTTAGCTCTCTGACCTCGCAGCGTATCGTTAGCTCTCTGACTCGCAGCGTAACGTTAGCTCTCTTTGACTCGCAGCGTAACGTTAGCTCTCTTTGACTCGCAGCATAACGTTAGCTCTCTGACTCGCAGCGTATCGTTAGCTCTCTGACTCGCAGCGTAACGTTAGCTCTCTGACTCGCAGCGTAACGTTAGCTCTCTGACTCGCAGCGCAACGTTAGCTCTCTGTGACTCGCAGCGTAACGTTAGCTCTCTGACTCGCAGCGTAACGTTAGCTCTCTGACTCGCAGCGTAACGTTAGCTCTCTGACTCGCAGCGTAACGTTAGCTCTCTGTGACTCGCAGCGTAACGTTAGCTCTCTCTGACTCGCAGCGTAACGTTAGCTCTCTGACTCGCAGCGTAACGTTAGCTCTCTTTGACTCGCAGCGTAACGTTAGCTGTCTCTGACTCGCAGGGTAACGTTAGCTCTCTGACTCGCAGCGTAACGTTAGCTCTCTGACTCGCAGCGTAACGTTAGCTCTCTGACTCGCAGCGTAACGTTAGCTCTCTCTGACTCGCAGCGTAACGTTAGCTCTCTCTGACTCGCAGCATAACGTTAGCTCTCTGACTCGCAGCGTAACGTTAGCTCTCTGACTCGCAGCGTAACGTTAGCTCCCTTTGACTCGCAGCGTATCGTTAGCTCTCTGACTCGCAGCGTAACGTTAGCTCCCTTTGACTCGCAGCGTAACGTTAGCTCTCTGACTCGCAGCGTAACGTTAGCTCTCTGTGACTCGCAGCGTAACGTTAGCTCTCTGACTCGCAGCGTAACGTTAGCTCTCTGACTCGCAGCGTAACGTTAGCTCTCTGACTCGCAGCGTATCATTAGCTCTCTGACTCGCAGCGTAACGTTAGCTCTCTGACTCGCAGCGTAACGTTAGCTCTCTTTGACTCGCAGCGTAACGTTAGCTCTCTGACTCGCAGCGTAACGTTAGCTCTCTTTGACTCGCAGCGTAACGTTAGCTCTCTCTGACTCGCAGCGTAACGTTAGCTCTCTGACTCGCAGCGTAACGTTAGCTCTCTGTGACTCGCAGCGTAACGTTAGCTCTCTGTGACTCGCAGCGCAACGTTAGCTCTCTCTGACTCGCAGCGTAACGTTAGCTCTCTGACTCGCAGCGCAACGTTAGCTCTCTGACTCGCAGCGTAACGTTAGCTCTCTGACTCGCAGCGTAACGTTAGCTCTCTGACTCGCAGCGTAACGTTAGCTCTCTGACTAGCAGCGTATCGTTAGCTCTCTGACTCGCAGCGTAACGTTAGCTCTCTGACTCGCAGCGTATCGTTAGCTCTCTGACTCGCAGCGTATCGTTAGCTCTCTGACTCGCAGCGTAACGTTAGCTCTCTGACTCGCAGGGTAACGTTAGCTCTCTGACTCGCAGCGTATCGTTAGCTCTCTGACTCGCAGCGTAACGTTAGCTCTCTGACTCGCAGCGTAACGTTAGCTCTCTCTGACTCGCAGCGTAACGTTAGCTCTCTGACTCGCAGCGTAACGTTAGCTCTCTGACTCGCAGCGTAACGTTAGCTCTCTCTGACTCGCAGCGTAACGTTAGCTCTCTGACTCGCAGCGTAACGTTAGCTCTCTTTGACTCGCAGCGTAACGTAAGCTCTCTGACTCGCAGCGTAACGTTAGCTCTCTCTGACTCGCAGCGTAACGTTAGCTCTCTGACTCGCAGCGTAACGTCAGCTCTCTGACTCGCAGCGTAACGTTAGCTCTCTGTGACTCGCAGCGTAACGTTAGCTCTCTGACTCGCAGCGTAACGTTAGCTCTCTTTGACTCGCAGCGTAACGTTAGCTCTCTCTGACTCGCAGCGTAACGTTAGCTCTCTGACTCGCAGCGTATCGTTAGCTCTCTGACTCGCAGCGTAACGTCAGCTCTCTGACTCGCAGCGTAACGTTAGCTCTCTGTGACTCGCAGCGTAACGTTAGCTCTCTGTGACTCGCAGCGTAACGTTAGCTCTCTGTGACTCGCAGCGCAACGTTAGCTCTCTGTGACTCGCAGCGTAACGTTAGCTCTCTCTGACTCGCAGCGTAACGTTAGCTCTCTTGACTCGCAGCGTAACGTTAGCTCTCTGACTCGCAGCGTAACGTTAGCTCTCTGACTCGCAGCGTAACGTTAGCTCTCTGACTCGCAGCGTATCGTTAGCTCTCTGACTCGCAGCGTAACGTTAGCTCTCTGTGACTCGCAGCGTAACGTTAGCTCTCTGACTCGCAGCGTAACGTTAGCTCTCTGACTCGCAGCGTAACGTTAGCTCTGTCACTGACTCTTATACCCACCCTGTATATATGCATTACATTAATGCACTCCCGTCTTCTGTACAGTTTTCCTATCTTTTCTTATCTTTCTTATTTTTATTTATCTATATTCTTTTAAAAAGTACTTTATTCTTGTGTGATTTTTGTATAACTTGTATTTTTTTGTGTGATTGTATATTTTAAGCACCAAGACAAATTCCTCGTATGTGTAAAAACCTACCTGGCAATAAATCTCCTTCTGATTCTGATTCTGATTGCAAACTGTGACTTAGACTGAAGCCTAACGTAAAGTTTATCTTGCAGAACAAAACATGTAAATATCATAAAGCTTTTAATTAGATAATATTATCTACTTGGTCAGGTTCAGGAAAAGATAATGATTTGGGGTAAAATCAGTATATTACATGTGTAACGTAGTGAAGTTATGTTCCAAACACAAAAAATATTATAATGGTGGATTTCTAATGTAAATGCACTCATAAATCATTTTTAATCTATTTAAAGTTGTGTGTTTGTACAGTGTTAATAAAGTTGTGTGTTTGTACAGTGTTAATAAAGTTGTGTGTTTGTACAGTGTTAATAAAGTTGTGTGTTTGTACAGTGTTAATAAAGTTGTGTTTGTACAGTGTTAATAAAGTTGTGTGTTTGTACAGTGTTAATAAAGTTGTGTGTTTGTACAGTGTTAATAAAGTTGTGTGTTTGTACAGTGTTAATAAAGTTGTGTGTTTGTACAGTGTTAATAAAGTTGTGTGTCTGTACAGTGTTAATAAAGTTGTGTGTCTGTACAGTGTTAATAAAGTTGTGTTTGTACAGTGTTAATAAAGTTGTGTGTTTGTACAGTGTTAATAAAGTTGTGTGTTTGTACAGTGTTAATAAAGTTGTGTGTTTGTACAGTGTTAATAAAGTTGTGTGTTCGTACAGTGTTAATAAAGTTGTGTGTTTGTACAGTGTTAATAAAGTTGTGTGTTTGTACAGTGTTAATAAAGTTGTGTGTTTGTACAGTGTTAATAAAGTTGTGTGTCTGTACAGTGTTAATAAAGTTGTGTTTGTACAGTGTTAATAAAGTTGTGTGTTTGTACAGTGTTAATAAAGTTGTGTGTTTGTACAGTGTTAATAAAGTTGTGTGTCTGTACAGTGTTAATAAAGTTGTGTGTTTGTACAGTGATAATAAAGTTGTGTGTTTGTACAGTGTTAATAAAGTTGTGTTTGTACAGTGTTAATAAAGTTGTGTGTTTGTACAGTGTTAATAAAGTTTTGTCTGTACAGTGTTAATAAAGTTGTGTGTTTGTACAGTGTTAATAAAGTTGTGTTTGTACAGTGTTAATAAAGTTGTGTTTGTACAGTGTTAATAAAGTTGTGTGTTTGTACAGTGTTAATAAAGTTGTGTGTTTGTACAGTGTTAATAAAGTTGTGTTTGTACAGTGTTAATAAAGTTGTGTTTGTACAGTGTTAATAAAGTTGTGTTTGTACTGTAATCAGACAAACAAATCTTCGCTCTGTGTTGAAATCAGTTAGTTGCTGACGTAAGCACGCGAAACATTTAGTTTCACAGGAAGACACAATGATTGGATTTTATATAAAAATACAGAGAAAGTGTTTGTAAATGTTTTTGTCAGACGTTAAATAAAGTTACAGTATTACTGGTGATTAAAGGGTTAAAAAGGATTTTTCATTTAATCTCGACTTTAAATGATTCAACATTGACTTTTGGTGTCACACAAACTCTGAGTGAAAGTTTATTTATAAAAAACAATGAATATGGGTCGTTATAACCGGGGTGGTAAAGCTGTCTCATTCAGACCCTCACAGAGTCTGTGCACGGCCCTGCACCCCCGACCCACAGCCTCCACAGACCTGCAGTGTTCAGATCATTTAGCATTAATGAGTAAAAGATGAAACAAGGTGGACTTACGATCTGGACTGGGCCTCTGTCCTCCAGCAGAGACTCCACACACACATCAGGAGGACGCACACCTTCATCCTGCCTGAAAGCACACAACTGACTGAGGAAACTGACCCACAGTTAGAGTTTACTAGCTATTGATCAACTCAGCCATCAGTGGATTCCTGTAAGTCCTCAGTGTGTGTGTGTGTGTGTGTGTGTGTGTGTGTGTGTGTGTGTGGGCGCATGCGTCCCAAAGGTGAGTTTACTCAGTTTGTGTTGTCTGATGTTACCCAACAGTGTTGACTCTGTGCTTTCTGTTATTGGCTCATCAGTCAGTCGTCAAAAACACGTTCACATTCTCTACAGACTGCAGTTACTGCCCCTACAGACTGCAGTTACTGCCCCCTACAGGCTGCAGTTACTGCCCCTACAGACTGCAGTTAGTGCCCCCTAGAGGCTGCAGTTAGTGCCCCCTACAGGCTGCAGTTACTGCCCCTACAGACTACAGTTATTGCCCCCTACAGGCTGCAGTTACTGCCCCCTACAGGCTGCAGTTACTGCCCCCTAAAGGCTGCAGTTACTGCCCCCTATAGACTGCAGTTAGTGCCCCTACAGACTGCAGTTACTGCCCCCTACAGACTGCAGTTAGAGCCCCCTATAGACTGCAGTTACTGCCCCTATAGACTGCAGTTACTGCCCCTACAGACTGCAGTTACTGCCCCCTACAGACTGCAGTTACTGCCCCTACAGACTGCAGTTAGTGCCCCCTACAGGCTGCAGTTACTGCCCCTACAGACTGCAGTTACTGCCCCCTACAGGCTGCAGTTACTGCCCCTACAGGCTGCAGTTACTGCCCCCTATAGACTGCAGTTACTGCCCCCTACAGGCTGCAGTTACTGCCCCTACAGACTGCAGTTAGTGCCCCCTACAGGCTGCAGTTACTGCCCCCTACAGACTGCAGTTAGTGCCCCCTACAGGCTGCAGTTACTGCCCCTACAGACTACAGTTATTGCCCCCTACAGGCTGCAGTTAGTGCCCCCTACAGGCTGCAGTTACTGCCCCTACAGACTACAGTTATTGCCCCCTACAGGCTGCAGTTACTGCCCCCTACAGGCTGCAGTTACTGCCCCTACAGACTGCAGTTAGTGCCCCCTAGAGGCTGCAGTTAGTGCCCCCTACAGGCTGCAGTTACTGCCCCTACAGACTACAGTTATTGCCCCCTACAGGCTGCAGTTACTGCCCCCTACAGGCTGCAGTTACTGCCCCCTAAAGGCTGCAGTTACTGCCCCCTATAGACTGCAGTTAGTGCCCCTACAGACTGCAGTTACTGCC